CCGGCGACGGGTCGCGTGCCAAAATCCCTCGGTACCCTGCGCACGAGCCCGCATAGCTGCACCCGATGCGGACCTGACTCGATGATGCGCCCCGCAGAATACGTTCGACGATTATCATAATACTACTGCGATACCGTGCCGGACGATTAACAATATATTATTACGGTACTTGTGCATTTCCGAAAAACATCGTCGACGCGAACGCATTTTGATGTTTCAAAACCCCGATTATATTTAAATTATCGTATAGTGACGGGCACTTCCGAAGAGTCAACATACGTTCGATAGTTTTCGACAGTTTAGACGAACGATGCGAATTTTTTTCGCGGCCGAATACTTTTATTTCGAAAAACTATACGAACGGTTTTTTTCACAGTGTTTATTTCAGGGGCCAACCGGGGGAGGGGCGGTATCCCCCCTCCTCGCTAAAAGATGTATGCCGCCCCATAAAAATGTACGATATTACTATACGTTAAATACGATATGATATGAAATGAGTTATGGGCCGATTATGAGTCATGTCTTGTTGACAATAACAAGTAAAAAGTCATATATCGTGGTTTTAAGTATTTGTATTTGTAGAATTTTTGTTTTCTTTGTGATGGAAGAAACAGTTCATTATATAAATTGTACTAAGTGGATAGAAATACAAAAGCAAAATGTAATATCGATTTTTTTTTTTTTTTATAAACGTTTATTCATCAAGAACAATATTATTGTTATTTAATTTTCGTAATTTACAAACTGTAATTTAAACTGTTGACCCAACTCTTCACTGAAAATCGTTTTCCGTTTGTAATGATTTATCGCCTCGTAAAGTATAACTAGTTACATAAACTAAATTACACTCTAACGTATCCTCTCTCTTTACATATCCCACCTCAATTTTGTTTTTAAATTTTATATAATCTAATATAATATATTGTTTGTTTTACCGAACTCTAAGGATTTATAAAAGTCTTTGGAAAACAAGATGCCATACCCACAGGCTCAAGTAGACCAATACTTTTGAGGGTTAATAAATGAGAAAGACCTCACAGATTTGTGGGGGCTTTGTCCCAACATCTACTACTCACTTTAGATTACACTATATTTATAACAAAAATGATTTCAAGTGTATATTTATGCGCTTTGTTTATGTGTTTTAATATGGGCAACACAAGCTACAGGTTACAAAATAAAATTATCACAACTATTTCAACATGAATTTTCTTGAATTTAAATTATATTTGTTTAAAATGCGTGCACTTTTCAAACTATTTGTTATATCCCTCTCGATATTTAATATTGATAAATTGGTAAATTTTTACTATTTCACACTTGAACGTAACCAATTTTTAATTCGACTAATACTTGAAAAACTACGATCACATGTAACCAAACTTACTGGTATGGTGCTATCCACAACCTAACTGAATTAGTTTGTACAAGTTAAGATATGTTGCTTTTTAATTGTTTTTTTTTTTTAAAATCATCAAAACTGACATTTGTAGGGAAATAATTTTTAAAACCCATAATTTCAGTTCCCACAGTTTTGTTTGAAATAATTATCACTACTTACATTATTATTCATTACATTACATTATTGATATTTACTTCAAAATCAAAACAATCAAAATGCAACAGAAAAAGGCTTAGATTTTTTGGGGGTACACATTTTAAGCTTGACAAGTTCCCCCATGTATTCCCTTAGTTGTGCCAACGCTTACACTGCACATCGTAATTATTGTAATAATCGGAAAGTAATTTTTCGGAGTCCGAAGACGGAGATTTCCAAAACGTACACAATAACAACCAATACATAATATATTATTCTAGTATTAAACAATAACGATAATTTATACCACCGCCGATACCGATAAATGTAGAAAACACACGCACAATATACTCGTACACCAAACTATTATTATCTCGTTCGTTACATTATCAGTGGCGGCCTTGGTTCGTATCCTGAGGTGGTGGAGGCAATTTCATAGTCCAATTTACTACTTTATTTCACGGCGAAAATTCGGTTCCTATTTTTGAGTGAATAAGTCTATAGCCCAAGTATATTTTTGTAACACAAAATCTAAACTTTGTTTTTTTTTCGTTCAGGGAATTTTTTTAGAAAAAAGTATTGCCAGGAGTTAGGACAAACCCCTAAAAAAAGCCCAAATACGCCACAGCCCACGACCTCCCTTAACAGTACCATTGAACTGGTTACGTGTGAATAATAACGGTTGTTAACATCGCGGTAAGTACTAAAAAAACAAAGCGCAGTTCCATAATCGGTTCGCAAATTTTTGCATACGGAAGCCGTCGCATTAGAAACGTTTCAGATTCACCGGAGTCCGCCGCTGTAAGCGATCGTTTCCTGCAATACGAAAATATTTATTATAATAATATTGTAATCCACCAAGATTACTTATTTATGAGCCCTGCTGAGTTCGGTCCAAGCCAAAATATAACCGAGTTGATTTTAAGAGTTTTACGAAATTCAACCAACACTTGTTGATCTAAATCCGATACTGCTCCAAGGAAAGTTAAAGGTTCCTAAATGTAAACATAAAACCTACTGATTTTAGTCGATAAAAAGTCATGGGCTTAAAAAAATCAGACGAGAGGAAATAGAAAAACCAAACTTAACTATTGGTCCAAAACCTGATAATGCTCCAAATGAGTTACAGATATCCTGAACGTAAACCTGAAATCTAGTATCCTATAGCCGACGAAAACTCACAAACCGCTTGCCAAAATCGCGCCAAACACTACGACTACATTATTTCCGATTTCGTACCGACTTCGTGCACTTATTATCTACTCTGACATTTATTTATTAGTATATTCCACGTGTTAATAGACTTCACATGTGCATTGGTGTTTTTTATTCAATATGTATTTAAATTCCAACAGCTCAGAAGACAAATGTTATGATTTTCTGAATAGTAAAATATTATATTTAAATAATACAAGGTCCTGTTGGACGCATAATTTATTAAGAGATTTTAAAATGGAGAATATTTTAAGACGTGTATTAAACTTTGAGAATATTCAGATAAGTTTGAAGAATATTTTAAAATGAGCATAAAAACGTATGATTATTGATATGATAATGTGATTAATATGATACAATGTTGAATTGTCGATTATTTAACCCAAATACTCCAATTTTGTCCGACTTGTCGGAAAAAAATCAAATCGATTTGTATCCTTTCCGACGTGCCGACTAGTCGGATACGTCGGAAACGGGTAGGTCGGATAAATATAACCACTACCGATAATGTACACGGTTTTGTTTTTCTTCCAACTAGTCGGACTGTCGGATCGGATTTAAAACGGCACTAATGTAGCCGTTGCCAAACACGTGGCTTATGTCCGACCAAAATCAGATCATGTAATTCAGTTTGGGTTTATACCAATGTGTTATTGTGTTAGGGCATAATATATTTAATATACTCATTACCGTCGTATTCTGAGTTTTTCGTATAAAATAGTGAATTTCATAAATATAAAAATGAACGTACGGATGATGAAAAAACCCACGGTCCTCTATTTAGCTGTAAAGAGGTAGGCGGCGGTTGTGACTACTAATGACTATTGACTACTGATCAGATCATTTTAAAACTGATTCGGCGCCTGCACTGAACTGGCTCGGGCCTAAATCTGATATGGGTCTGTAATTACGCTACCGGCGGGAATTTGCCGCCAATCGTATTAAATCTTTAACGTTTTCGAAAGTACTGTATAACGACATAAAACGGACAAAAAAATAATATCTGCGGCGTTCGTACCTGCAGTGTACAAAACACAACTCATTGTCCCGGTCGCACGAAATATCGGGTGAGCGGATACGCGATATCCGGCATCTTGGGCGACGTCACCGTGGGTTTCGTGCGACAGGAGGAGGGAGGGGTGAAGGTGGGCCCGCGGTGACTTTTGCGTGTTAAATTACCCGCTTGTGCGATATTATTGTTATGGTACATTATGTTATATACAGGGTGAAGGCATTAATCACGCATGGACACTCGGAGTGTATACAATATAATATACTTACTTTACTTATCATGGGAATCGGCAGTGGCGGCGGCGGCAGAACAGACGTTTATCACGAGTTACAGATCGCATCACACTATACGTCACGTCACATAATGTATAGGCTGACGGCGCGTATTAAAAAAAAAAAAAAACTAGTTACTCGACAACAATATAATAATAATAAAAATAAGGGCTCCGGTAATAATAATCGTCCCGCATTTTCGAGGTTAATCACCCTCCGGATCGGCGTTAAAAGGCCCGCGCGATGCAGTACAATAATAATAATATGTGTATATAGGATGCACTAAAACACGTCACGGCTCAGCGGCGTACCTACTGGTACGACCATTACGCACCCCGAATTCGTGAAAAAAAAAAAATAATAAAAAAATACCTAATAAGAATATATGTAAGTACAATAACAATAATAATAAAACAACGCGTGCTATACGATCCGTCGAACAAATTTGATAAACGCACCGATTTTGAGGTAAACGTCGACTTTTGTATTCGCGGCTCCCGTCATCCGCACAACATTATTATAATATATTATTATACACGCCCCGTCGTCGTCACTTCCGGAACGAACGATTACGATTATATTCCATTATCCGGTCGTCGTTGTCGTCTCCGCGGTGGCGTGTATAATACCTATAACCCCTCTTCCCGACTCGAAAAACGACGAGAATTTGAGCGTTGAGGAACGTTACGGTTTTGGTATACGATGTGTGCAGTGTATTTTTTTTTTTTTTTTAGCTTTAGTTTTTATTTGATTTTATGTGTATAAAATGTTTTTGGCCGAGTAAAAACGCCATTCTCGATAAAATACCCGAGTCCTGATTTTGAGACGAAAATCGTAATAATCACGAAATTTTAAACTAAAATAATATGTCATTCACTCGGAATCGATTTTTCGTTAACGATCAAACCGAACCTAACCTTGCTGACCGATGTAAATCAATTATAACAACTGTAATAATATGTATACCTTTTCGAGTTCCCACCTACAACAGTGGCACACCCGTTAGTCGTATCAGCTCATTTTCGCGTTGAAAAATAATTATTATAACCAGTGTCGGCGCGAAGGTATAGTTTTTTTTTTAACGCCGAGGTTTGATTCGAACAGTGGGCTAGTATAGGCGGGTGGATATTGTTACGGAGAAATAGAATATTGATGAGTAGGTAAATCCAGACAAAATAATTATTATATTATTCTATAGATTATATTATTTTTATGTGTGCATCGAAATGCATTTCTTAATTATTGGCACGATAGAAGCTTTCTATAGCTGCGTTTTGGATACGGTTTTATACCTTGAATTTCCGTTTTATATTTTAATACTCATCTACTATTGTTGTAAGACTAAGAGTATTGAGAAAAGTGAAAGTATAGGAATGAAAAATCATAAGTGTATTTGTGGCGAAAAATATAATTTCAACTACAATCGGTCGTGACATTTCCAGATAAGTCGATGTAAAAAAAAAAAAAAAAACCATAATTTAAGTTATATTATGTTATATATAATCAATACAATGTTGTATGCAATAATTTTTAAGAGTTTCGCCAAAATACCAAAATCTGCTTTTTATGTTACGATTATTATAAAGAAACAATATATAAGAAGCTTTTGTACATAATGTATCCACAAAAAACTCGACTATATTTCAAATAGAAAAAAATCATCCAAGAAATACTAGAGTATTTTGAACATTTTGTTGATACTGACATAAATCGTATTCGATGAAAATGTCCTCACAATATTAATAGAAATAAAAGATATAATCTTCAAATGCACCAAATATAGATAAAATTAACTACCAGCAACCACCGGTCCCTGATGTTGATGATTGAAACAATTCTTCTGGTCAGACTAAAAGCATAAAAAAAAAAAAAAAAAAAAAAAACGACCGTTCTAAAAATTAAAGATTACTCTTAAATATTTTTTCTTAGGTCTAGAAGTACGAGCGGGACAAATCATAACGGGGCTAACGTACCGGCTCTTTATAACGTTTTTTTTGTACACATCGCTGTTATGAAATACGCGGTTTAAAAATATATAAACAGTGTAATAGGAACTGGGTAATTTTTTTATTGTAGAAAAAAAACATTCGACGTAAAATCGTTTTTCTAAATAGAAACTACTTAATAGATTTTTTTAGCCCGGCTTATTGGTTTAGATGCATGAAAAACATAATCGCTTTCGATCGAAGTTCATAAAAAAAAAAAAAAATTCAAAGGTCCAATGTTTGTCTTTGAGCTTTTAAGGTTATTGATCTGACGTTTAACTTATTTCTATCTCGTTAGCTCCCTGTCTCGCTATACAATCATATACGATGCACGCGCGTTATAAAATATTATATATGGTTTTCGTTGTAGTTATTGTAGCGCAACGACGATGACGATATTATAATCGGTTTTTTTTTTTCGTTCCGCTATGACGACGTCAGCTCTCCTGTTTCCGACCGGTGACAATAGATCGTGTTAGCATAGCCACGCGAAGGGACGCCGGCGGCCCCGCCATTGGTCGGCCCGGCACCACTCCCAAGCGCCCCTATTGGTCGCTGCCCACACGTATACACGAGCGCGCGGTACACAGCGCGTAACAATATACGGGACGGCGGCGCACGGGAACGCGAAAAACTTCTAATATACGTTTTTTACTTTGAACTTCACACACACGGTCCGTACACGTACGCGCGATCGTCGTCGTCTGGTCGTCTCGTCCACGCGTAATAGGAAAAAAACAACATATTATTATTGCCGTCACGTCTCGTCGCCGCCGTTTGACATTTTCGGCGGATAAAACGAACGCACTCGCCGCGGGTTTTTCGCGTCGTATACGCAATATTCTACTCGCAAAACGTTCGCACGTTCGTCCAGTTCCGTCTCCGTCGTCGTCGCGAACCGCGGACCCGTGCGCACAGTGTTGATCGGGCCGAAGGAGCGACGCGAATGCTTTAAGTCGCGCGGTTCAATTTATTAAACCCGGGTGTCCGCTTATTTTTTTAAATTGCCCTTAAACGAAGTTTATTTAATATAACTACGTCGTTTGGTCCTCGTGTGCGGCGTGTCCCAATTCAGCCCATCATCGTTCCAATTGTAGACAATCAACAGAAATTAACGGCGACTATCGCAACCCCCTCCGCCGTCGCCGCCGCCGCCGCCGCCGCGGGCCGGTCAATTAAAATTTATATCCGCTACCGCCGCCGCCGCCACCGCCGCCGCCACCTCCGCCACCGCCACTGTCACACAGCCATCGTCACCACCGCCGCCGACCTTGCGTAATCGATTCCTCATCGAAATCGAAATCGAAGCGGAATTCCCCACCGGTAACATGGACGAGAGCGCTTTCGACGAGTCCATCATGTTCAACGAATATCACCAGAAACCCGGGGGATCGCCGGCCGCACACCACCAACATCAATCGCTGTTGGCGTTCCAACAACCCGGCGACATGATGGGATACGCACTTCCCGTGCCCGACCACATGCAAGACATGCAGCAACAACACCATCACCACCATCACCAGCTCCAGGACATGGACATGCACCGGCACCACCACCATGGCACCGCCATTCAAGACCAAATGCAACAGGACACCTGCAGACAGCAGATACAGATCGGTGATCCGCAGGACATGTTCCAGATACCGGGCACATCAGCCGTCGGTCAAGTCCCGGTACAGCCGGGTGACTGCTTGGTCGGCGCCAACGGCCAGAAACACACCATCAAATTGGAAATGGACGACGGCCCAATGCCGGTCGCGGTTGGCGGTCAACAGTCCTCAGGTAACTGCAGCGCGCGAATACCTAGTGACAGTCTTATAGTCGATACGGAGATCGTCTCTCTCCGGCGCTATGAACACCACAATATAGTAGAACATTCGTTGACGAACCGATTTATATTTTTTCCGCGTTATACAGGACTACCGGCCGAACAACCGGCACCCAAGAAGTCCAGTTCCAAGTCGAAAAACACCGACAACAACGGCACCAAAAAGAAAAAGACAAGGTAAGCAATATCGCCCGCACACCTCAATATACGGCTGGCCGCCATAATATTATCAATACTGTATGGATAATAATATTTTTTTTCCCCGTTACTTCAGGACGACATTCACGTCCCACCAGTTGGAGGAGTTGGAACGGGCGTTCGAGAGGGCTCCGTATCCGGACGTGTTCGCCCGTGAAGAATTGGCGTTGAACCTGAAACTTAGCGAGTCACGGGTTCAAGTGTGGTTCCAAAACCGCAGGGCCAAGTGGCGGAAGAGAGAGCCGCCCAGGAAAACCGTTTACCTGACCAATTCCGGTAAGTCATTATCGTCCGTAAAATCTTCCGTAAAATTACTCATTACGGCGACACACTATATATTTACACAAGGTTGAAAATATCGATATAAAACCCCACAAAACAATCATTATCTGGAAAAGTACACCTCGTGAAACAAATGCAACTCTAAAACGTTATTGTACCATTATTTTACGTCATTCTTATTTTCGGAGACAGGACCATTGCCCACTTTCGATTTTCAAATAGCAACATATAAAACAAATTCCATAAGTAGATTAGATGCAGTTTTAGTTAGAATACCACAAATAATGATGCTCCACTACTATCTCTCACTATACTCAAACGTAAAAGTAGAATGACTCGGAAACGGGGTGACGGAAATTAAAAATATCCACATTAAAATGTATTTCAACTGAAACGTCATCTACTTATGGATTTTTCTATATTAGGATGTTGTTTAAAAATCAAGAGTAGGTAGTGGTTTCAACCCCTAAAAATAAGGATGAGTAATGATAATGTCAATGTAGTATTTTAAAGTTATTTATTTCATAAAGAAGTCCAAAACAAAACAAAATCCGAAAAAAGTTAATGTTCTCCGAGACAATGAATATTTAATCGAGCATTGGTTATACTACATAAACACATCGACACATATTTCCGACACTTCTCTTTCTCCCCCCCCCACACCAATTTGCCGATCCATTACTTAAGAATTATTTGTATTACAGTTAAATGTTTCAATTATTTCACTTGTATTATAATATATTATATTAAAATCGTGAAAAAAATCACGGAGAACGGGAAAGTTTACTATAATTGTCGTGATTCTGTTAAAAATAATAATCGGAAAGTTTGACATTTTCACCGAATACTTATATAACAGTTTTTGAGCTTTTTATAAAAAATTTTTATTTGATTTATGCGGATAAAATTGTTTTGGCCCAGCAAAAATGCTCGAAAATTTTACATAAGTTTCATCGTTCGTTGTTCTTAGTAGTAAAAAAAAAATATTGAGATTTTTTTTTTATTTATACAAGTACATAATAAACGTTTAAAGTTAAACATTTTATGAAAATCGTAAAAATCGCAGTTTTTCAAAACATGGGCAACGTTTTTCATTTGTAATGATTTATCGTTGCGTACAAATGTAAATTAAATTACTCTTTGTATTCTGCCTTTCAACTTCCGACCAACAACAGTGGCACGTCCATCAGAATTATCAGTTCTTTTTTTTTATCGATATTATTATATTAATCTTTTTTCGTCTTCAATCGTTTGCTTGGTTTGGTGCAGTTCTCCGAGCTTTCCTTTTAAATCCTTATTCCTTTATTTGCGTACACCTATCCTTATCTATGTCTATTATGATTTTTTTTCATGTACTCCGTCATTGATCTTTCACTTCCGATGTGACCTTCTATGATGGATATCGTAAAGTTATCGTTATGTAGTATAGATAATATGATTTTTATAATGAATTTTTATAATTTTATAATTATATTGGTCTATTTCCAATATACACGGTCACGTAAGGATGCATATTTAGTATTCCTTGTCTATATCGGCCGTGCCCTGACAAATCGATTTATTTCTGTACGCAGTGTTCCCGTCCGGATCTCCGGGATCGTCGGTCAGCTCGACGTCGTTCACCACGTTGACGACGTTTGGCGGTAACGTGTCACCGTCGATGGGCACGTGTTCGCCGGTCACACTCAGCGGCACCGCGGATTCGTGGGGCTACGGCGCTGCCGGATACGGCGAACTTGCCCACCTGAACCTGCTCAACAACAACGGGTCGTCACCGTTCGCTCAAAACACGTTCGGCCACAACAACGGCTTTGGCGCCTCATATGCGTCCCAGCCGCAAGACAGTCCGGGACTGTTCTCAGCTAGCATGCAGTGCCTGGCCCGACAGGACATGATGGGCCCTCTAGACCAATCGCCGCCTGACCGCGACTACCACAACCATCAGCTCAATAAACACGTGGTCGATACGTACGTGATGAGCCAGGACATGGCGGGACTGTTGCAGCCGGACGCCGAGTGCGATATTGTCGGCTCCATAGGCTACGAGGTAGAACAGCAACAGCAGCAACAACAGCAACAGCAACAGCAACAACAACAACAACAACAACAACAACAGCAACAACCACAACAACCACAGCAGCCTCAACAACCGCAGCAACCGCAAAGAGACGAAGAATGCAGAGAAGAAGAGACCGCTATAAAGATCGAGCCACCGTTCACGCCCCTGCCGCCTTTTATCAACTGACACAGGCGGTTTCAGTTTGACACATACGAGTATCAAACTGAATTCGAATGAGTCCGACACGGTAAACTATATTGTTGTAAATGTGTATTATATTATATCGACACTTTTATCGGATAATTACTCGTATAACTATTTAACAGACGACGACACTGTAAATACTTAAATAATAAGCAAAATCCGAAGTATGGCTGCTCTACAACGGGATCATTGCACCTTGACAGCCCAAGAATTTCAAGTATATTTATAAAATAACGCCATAACTCCGAGCAGGAACTATTTTTCATATGCTGTTATACAAAAATACATTTTTCTTTTCGTTTTTCTTTTACTAAAATATTTTTGAAAAATATTCGAGTGATGATTGGGTTAGTACACGGTATATAATCAATACGAAATAAATTTGAGGAATCGGAGGTACTGGGAAATATATAAGATGTCAGTGTGCCAGTAATCATGAAACTCACAGTACTTGACCGGGAAAAAACGGGTAAAATTTCACAAGAGAAATTTCCCTCCCTCGATAAAATATTAAAGGTGTGCGAAATCGAATTGAAAATAGATATTTTAATCTGCTAGCTCGTATATATAATCATTTTGTATCAATATTTAAAGGAGGCGACGAAATTATAAAAATGTGCTCAAAAAATCATATAGCCTCCTGTAATTAGAGCTCCTTCCGAAAAATAGTAAAAAAAACTTTTTAAGTCGTGATAACTCTAATTATTTGCACATGGTCCATATGGAATAGTGCAAGTATAGGACAGAACCCCTCTTACGCAGGTTCTAAAACTTCGTCTTCGATTAGTAATATACATAATGAACATTGTACTATCTATTCCTAATTAAAAGAAATGTATTTAATAAATTGAATTGATTTAATTTTGTAAATGGTATAAGCGTGTGTAAATTATATTTTAACACACGTTATACTGAAAATTGAAATATCTTAAGTCACTACGATAAACATTTATGTTTGGCACAAAAGAATGTAAGTTATATATTTATATGATTTAAGCCATTTAGAACGTCATATTTAGGTTATGCCATTTAGCAATTTAGCCGTAAAGCAATTTTCAAAAATGACTTTGTATCGGAAACTATACAAAATTGGCTTAACCCCTTCTTCCCTAAAACCAAAAATATATATTTGATAAAACATTATTATTATTATTATTATTATTATTATTATAGCTTAATGTGTTTATTTATTTATATTTTATAAGAATATACGATATAGGTTTCAACCGAATACGACAAAATCACATAACTCTTCCACAATGTACATATTAATAGGTATTATAAGTAATGGTATTTTAGTAATGTAAATTTTTTTTATTTTTTTTTTTATATACAAAAAAATCTCGTGTATTCTATGTTGTGCCTTATTAAAGCTTAAGCAATTATAATTATTATTGTTATTCCAGTATCTTACTAAATTGTTTTAAACTAAAGACGGCGGCGGTGTACTGCATGCGTCGAGTTATAAGTATAATATTAAGGACCCATATTATAATTAAATATGGAATTTAAGTAATTGTAAATACATTTTTTTTCCCCCCAATTAGAATCCGAAGATAATATTATATTTAATATTAATTTATTAATTATTCGATTTTGGGCATATTGAATTAAAAGTTTACGGTGAATTTCCCGGTAGACAATAACGCTAATACAATATTTGCCACACGCTCCAACACAGATTTCTGTCGTTTACAATATTACCGATGGTTAAATAATTTTAAGTGACGTGCACGGTTTATATATGTATAATGTGTATATATATATATATATATATATATATATATATAAATAATATATTATATATATTTTATATGTATAAACATTAGTATAAATGTTGTCTACATTATTGTATAAGAAAATTTATGAGTTTCTCTGTTTTTTTTTTTATATATATATTATTTATTTATAATATGTACGCTACACTTTTAACAAAAAAAAATTATATATTTAAATATGTATTTTATTTATTTATTAACAATAAAACAAACTTAATCCATTAAGTACTAAATCATTTTATGCAGTGTTTGCTGAAATTTTTTTATGATATTCTCGCATAAAATTATAATTATTCTGTTCCTCTTTTTATGCCTATATTATTATTGCCTTTTATTAAATTATTGAATAAATAATTATGTAGAATCATGAAATGTATTCACGAAAAATTCGGTATATTTTCCATTGTCCTACCTGTAGGTACTAAAATGTAGGTCACTTAACTCGGAAACGTTAAAAAAATATCGAGTATTTATTGAAGTATTTGTCGTGTTTTTGTAGACGACCAACTACATCAATCGTGATTATTAACTTGTTATGTTTCAACACTGAAGAATACACGTCAACGTACCTAATTACTGTCTTATACTGCAAAATATTATGATAATAAAAAGTGATTGAAGTATTTACCACTTGTAAAATTATCTTGAAAAACATAAATATTCTCGGATAGATCAATAAAAATTAATTCGAGTGAGCTGTCTAATCCTATAACTTTTGTACAGCTCAGTGGATGTAAGTCAGTCATTAATGCAATCAAAATCATTGCACAAGCTCCTAATAATAAACAGTTGTATTATTACTTTTTCTCAACATGACTAATTTCAAAATATATTTCCAAACTATATTATTCGGTTTTTTAATACTAAATGGTAAGTGAGTAATTTTGTGTAACTATATATATATATATATAAATATTTTGATTTTGAAATTTTTCTCTAAATTAAGATTCTCAAAAAGAAATCTATTGGTCTTACAATGATGTGTTTTTTTTTGTGCTTAAAAACAACTTTTCCACCAAAATCTTGCTCCAATCGAAAACTGTATAGAAACTTTTCTGTAGCATTTTCATTTTATTTAATTAGCACATTGAAAAAGGAATATTTTTAGTATTTTTCTAGTAGTTTTCGTAATAAATAAGAAAAACTAATAATTTTTGTATACATTTTGCTAATTTTAATGTACCTAGGGAAAAATACGAGTAATAATACTCATTTCAGAATCGTTCTTCGTCAGCAATAGTCAATCGTTAAAAATGTAAACTTAGTTACTTTATATAATATCATTAATTCCCACTTCCTCCTTAAAATAATAGTACACCCGTCAATATTATCAACTTGTAGAAAAAATATTTTACCTCTTATTTATTAAATTTAACCATGTATAACTTAACACGTTTGATCAATGAAATACATCAATTGGTCTTATGTACTAACACTAACGATTTGTCTACAGTTTTATATTTGATAACTAATAGTTTTTTANTATACATTTTGCTAATTTCAATGTACCTAGGGAAAAATACGAGTAATAATACTCATTTCAGAATCGTTCTTCGTCACCAATAGTCAATCGTTAAAAATGTAAACTTAGTTACTTTTTATAATATCATTAATTCCCACTTCCTCCCTTAAATAATAGTACACCCGTCAATATTATCAACTTGTAGAAAAAATATTTTACCTCTTATTTATTAAATTTAACCATGTCTAACTTAACACGTTTGATCAATGAAATACATCAATTGGTCTTATGTACTAACACTAACGATTTGTCTACAGTTTTATATTTGATAACTAATAGTTTTTTAAAAATGNTTTTAAAATAAAGTTAAAAAAGTTACTTTCTATAATTTTACAATGCATATAAAACTGACAAAATGCCTTTCGGATTGTTTCAGAATCAAGTTCTGCGAATCCTTTACAGGGCAAACAACGATGTTCATCACCTTTAATTACACTAAGCACATTTGAAAATATAGTGAGTACCTACATTGATTTACTTGTGAAAATGTGCTATTATTTGAATTTGTTTTACTGTTTATAGATAATAATCATTCATGCAAACGTGACTGATGAAATATTATGCCAGGGCACGTTAATTGACGTGAATTGGGTATTGGCAACAGCTAACTGCTTGAAGTATATATAATAAAGATAGTTGGTGCACACTATTAAAAAAAATCTATTTTGATTTCCAAGATTTTTATTTTTTTTTATTCATACAGAAATATCCCATTGGATGGTGTTCGCCTTGTGATGGAAAACGAATTCGTTCGGAAACCGAAAACAATGGTCGATCGGAATGGTATAGCATTGATCAAGGTACAATATTTAATTATTTTTTTTAAAGAGTCGTCTTTGATAGCCATGGTTGAGGAGTCCATTCAAACGTTTTAACCTATTGAATCGGAAATTATTTATTTTTTAGATTCTGAGGAAAGCGAGGGATGTATTGATTTTACTATGATGTATGGTTATATTTATTTCATTTTTGTAAACAACTTTTCTATCAGAAATCTTGCTCCAATCAAAAAACGATAAAGGACCTTTTTTTTCACGCATTATGAAACGTGTTGGTGGAATAGGAACTTCGGATTTTGATACTTTAAACGGCTATCATTATATCTGTGAAAAAATAGAAAAACGTATATTATTTAACGCCATCTCCTTGCACTTTACTCCTAAGCATTACAAATTTTTCTCAGCTGTTTCAAATGGCTTAATCAATTTAATCTCAATGTGTTAGCCCTGGTTAAAATATTTTAACATTCGACTCCGAAAGAAAAGCTATACATTTCGTTATTTGCTCTATTCCCGTACATCTGTGTTTCAAATTTTAAAATTTTTTTATAAAATACATCGTTTAATGACGAATTTATTGCACGGCAGATGGATGAACCAGTCACGGTAGCGCCGATCGAATTTGCCACCGAAGATCAATTGGAAAACGCAAATAATTGCGTTGTAAGCGGTTTCCAGAGGTACGTCAATGACAGTGTAGCGCTCGTGTATTGGAACATGGTCAAAGTTTCGAAACGATTGAACGACATTGGCGAATTTTGGCATTTAGACGATGCGCTCTGTCTTGGGAAAACATCCTCTGCGTGGAATGTAAGTTTCCGAAAAAGTGTTTCTCAAAAAAAGCATTAATAACCGATAATTTCTCGGTTTTTTTTCCGTATTACCTATGCCCGAAGTACGACCATTGGCGACAATACGGGAAAAGCAGAATATAGGTACGAAGCTGCATTCCCTGTGAAGTATCACTTATTGCCCCTATACATTAATACGGCACGGCATAGTATGACACGACAAAACATTTTAACGAAAAATGTTTCGTTCGTACATCGGTATCTAATCGGAATCAATTTAATTGAAATACAGAGTGGTTCACTCTACTAAAAGCACTCAAAAATTATTAATTTTTTTTTTGAAAGCTTAGGAATCGAATAATTCTAAAATGTTAAGTTATCATTTTTCTTTTGTAATCCTTCTTTTAGGGATGAAATAACTGCCTAATTTTGATTTTCAAATAGTAACCTATTTTGAAAATGTTTTAAATAGAGTATTATTTAAAATAAATTTTGGTGTTGAAATTTTTGAATTCCGTCAACCCGTTGACGAGATATTCTACTTTTAAGTTCGGCTTGTAGAAGAGTAGTGATGCATTATAAATACGCCGTGCGCCGTACCGCCACACAACTGATACTCCACTACTTTCCCCTAATTTCATTTCTAGTCATGTTTTTACAATTTTTGACATTCAAATCATGAAATTTGATGTATTTTATATCTGAATTTCTTTAACATTTGTATTGTTAGTGCAATGCGAAAATAGCATATCTTTAGCTGTTTATATAGAGTGTCTTATTTAATAGTAGTGGATTTAAGATAACAAGGGGACCATTTCGCAAATATTATCTTTGACAATTTTATTATTTTAATCAAGACAGTTATTTTTTTTTTTTTTTTTATGTAGACGATCGAAAATGGCACCCCGTTGATTTGTAATCGTCAATTGTACGGCATACTTTTGACAGATAAACGGACGGTGTTCGGTAGCATTTCAAGCTACGAAAAATGGATCAAACGGGTAATCGCTAACCCTGCAACCTATGACAGAGCTACCGTACGGGACAATAATTTTTATTCTCCCGACATAAATGTTAATACTGCAATTGTGATGGATATAACCAATAGCCCTACCGATGACGATTATGATAACTACCACACCTCACCTGACCAATACACTTCGACAGAAACTGAAACAGATGGACCAATTTCGAAAGGAACTGAAACAGATGGACGAACTTTGAAAGTGATAACAGAAAGTCTATTAAAAATATTTCCAGTTGTCGGCCCGACGTTACCACCATTCCCGCCTTTCATTGGTCTTGACGGAAAAATTGATTCAGGAATAATGCCAGTGGTCGCCAGCCTTAATAATAAGGAACCCAGAGACGCGTTAGTGACCGCGGAACCGTTGTCTCGAAAAATTAAAGAAACGACCGAGACAACAATCATGAGTGTTACCGCCGTGACCGCCGAGACGCAGGACGAGACTTTTGATACGGAGGACGGTGAATTCACGACGTCGGTGACCACGGCTACCACAGAGTCGTCGACCGAAAATCCATCAACTCTGGAACCTCAGACGACGGCCGAGACAACAGAGATGGTGACGTTCGAAACAGAAGACCTAATTTCCGGTTCCAATAGTACCGTGGACGAAACTTCGCTGGAAACCGAAGACGCGTCTCCCATTTATATAGAAACCCCTGCGACGACGAACGCTATCGATGATATCACCACTTCTCCTGCTAAAACTACTACTACTACTACCACTACTACTACTACCACTACTACTAACACTACTAGTAATATTCCTAATATTAACTCTACTAAACCTACTACTATTACTAATGCTACTACTAATGAAGCTACCCAATCGGCTCACTCGACCGCTGCCGAAACGTCTGCAGCCGGCGGACAAACACAGCAGTCCGACCATACACCCGAAATAACCACGCATGTTACCGAATCAACCAACTCAGTTGTTACGGAATCATCGCCCGCGTCGAGTTCCCGAATAATGATACCTGATACACTTTTCACTACGGTTTTGTTTTTTATTGTGTGTTATATTAACGTATAATAATATACGTACGAGTTTGTTTTTATTATATCCCGTATTATGTATTTTTATTTTTCAAATAATCAATAATTTGAAAAATAACAGAATAAATTGGCTTTAAATCTTTTACACTCAAAACGTGATGAACATACGATATCAACTTGATCATAAAGTGATTCGCTAAAAATTATAAAGATTTGTTTTGATAAACTATATATACCTTCGGGGTAATTCTTTTGTCACGATCCATTATTATTCATTTATTTATTTATGCATTGTAAATTAATGGGACCTTTGAATAAATTATAAAACACATAACATATAGGTAGGTACATACTCTTAAAAGTAAACAAAATAATATTATATTGTATTTAGTATTATACGATTATGGTGATCAATTTATTCACCAAACCTCTCTCCTAGTATAAATTCTGAAATAATTTGAATCATAAACATCAAATTTAATATTATAATGTTGTGCATACAATAATTATAATTATTATACTATTAGTAAAAGATAATATTTTCTTTTCAAGTCTGTGTAAAAAAAATAAAAGACGAACATAATTCGCACGATAGCGGTGGGTCATTGTTATAGGTGAAGAGTTGTGAAAGTAGGATATATAAAATAATTTATTATTTTTTATATAAACGCGACGACTAATTATTGCAAACGAAAAAAAATTTTAAACGGACTTTGGTTGTACAGGTTTTGAAAGGCTGTAATAATTACGATTTTCGTCAAAATAAAATATTAAAATTATTATTAAAAAAATTCTATATTACACTGAATTTTTTTTTTTACCACAAAATATGACTTATAATGAACCTCAGGTTAAAATTTAAAACTTTTCTATTCGGTCCAATAACTTTATTTATGGATACCTACCGAATAAAAATTATGTAAAAATTAAAAAATTGCGAAGTGAAAATGTCTTAAAATTATTAGAATTTTCACCACGTCGAGAAAAGGCAAATATAAATTTTCTCTCCAAGTCTCCGTGAATACTAAACTATAAAAAAAATAAGTTAAAAAAAAATATAGTTTAAACTATATTACAAAAAAAAATATTTATTTTCTTAAACTGTCCAGTTTTTTTTTACGTATTTTTCGGTTTTGATCAATTATTAAAAAAAAAAAAAAACAAAATCAAAAAAATGACTTCATTAAAAATGTAAAAAATTTGTAAAAAAAAACACATGGACGCGCAATACCAGCAATTATATTTCAATGCCGAAATCAGCTATACTTATTGAAGACAGATAAATGATAAAAATATGTATTAATATGTAATAATGTTAGTTAATAAACGCGTATTACGTAAATTAAAAAAAAAATAATAATGATAATGTTTTCTGAACACCTATATTTATGTGAATGATATTTCGCGTGTGATTATAAGACATAAAATATGAATAATTGTTGTGAAAGTTTTTTTATTCTCGACCCCGCGCCCACCCCTTTTAATGATGGTTAAATCTATTTTTGAATATATGTTCACATTACNCAAATAAAAAATACTCTATAATATATTTTACGAGCATTATTAATTCTATTCTATTCTTTTATCTATTCTTTTAGAATTTTATTTTGAGTTTTATAATGATAACGTATTATAAATACAATTGCTGTATTTTATAAATCAGTTGACAATTGAGCGAACGGAGGGATTTTACGTTTGGTTTTGATTTGGACGACCGTTCGGTGGGTTTTCGGCAATACCATTTTGGAATATTCAAGAACTATGAATTGTTGTTTCGATGGCATTGCAATCGGTAGGTATGAGTATTTTAAATAACACAACTGGGTTCGAGTGTGTAGCGATACAATACGATTACTAAATAGTAAATTGTTTTTTCTATTGATTTTATCGGATTATCCGCGCGTATAAGTAAACGCAGACGGTATTCTTCGAAAACCCTGATAAAAAAATTGTATAAGTAATTGAACGAGATATAATATAACATTATTTCATCACGCCCGTTGTCGAGAAAAATTCAAGATAATAATAATATAATAATACCTAAGTAAGATTAACGGACAATGTTTTTTTTTTTTTTTATTTAACCTTAATTTTTGCACCCGCAGATTAATATTGTACATATTTTCGTACGTAGATGCGGCCTGTAGCAGTGCGTAAATAATACGTAGTAGTTGTGTCCAATTGCGTTTTTTTTTTCTCACTTATTATATTGTTACACTGAATTGTATTAATCAATTTTTAATAATTACTATTTGTTATTTTTTTATTAATTCTCCATTTGACATAACTCCGGATCCCATCATTTTCGGCGTAGAAGGTAATTAAATTTGTAATCTCCCTTCCCCCCTTGCGACCGCCATTATCTATACGTAGACGAGTTATAGCTGCATGGCAATATTATAATATCAAGTCATTTCGATCAATTCAGTCATATTTCGCCGACAAAAAAAATGTATGAACGGATAAATAAGGATATTTATAAAATCTAATTAACACGCACGATGTTCAGTGTTTCGTGTTTAACTGTGTATAAAATATAAGTATCCACTGTAGACACTAATTATATCATTCATATTTATATAATATATCACAATATTATTTTTACTGAATTAACATGAAATATAAAAACCGTTTCGACCTTGAAAAATGAGAGGTGTCAATAATTACGAAAATACTGAAATTTCAACTATCACATTTCCAAATAAATTTAAACCTTTCGGAATTACTTTAACGATAACAAGTAGTGATTGGGTATTACTAGTTGTATTGTGTTGATCGCGAGATAAATAATTATTATTATTGAACGCGACATGGGCGTCAAAAATAGAATTATTTAACATATTAACTTACTGAACGTAAAGGGAAATAATGCGTTCAAATATTCCAAATGTATTGTCAATATATTGTAAATAACGTGTCGTACGATTTTTTTTTTCTCGTTGTCCTCTGGCCGTGCAAACCAATTGAATAATTTGAAGTAGTGAGTGTATTATAAGGTACTCTCTAAGCCACGTTTAATCGAATCAAAATTATTTTTTTTTCTCGTTGTCCTCTGGCCGTGCAAACCAATTGAATAATTTGAAGTAGTGAGTGTATTATAAGGTACTCTCCAAGCCACGTTTAATCGAATCAAAATTATTTTTTTTTTTTTGATATACTTGAAACAACTGCACAGGTGAGCGTTTTAGTTAAACACGTACGATAATACAAAATTATTGGAGTGTTTCAATGAAATTATCGAGTTATATTTGCCATCTATTAATCGACATTTTCGAACAGCAAAGTAGGTACTCATCAATCTTGTTTTCAACTGTACAAAGCTCGAATTTTACAATTGCTATTCATTAAACATGAGGAAGTACAAAAGTTTTCGGACGATATTTTTCGGGTTTTTAATATTAATAACAGGTAAGTGAGTATAACTTATATGATATATATTATATTATTGCTTTAATCATGTGTATTCAGTGTAAATAACGTCAACATTTTGTTTCGTTCGGTCTAAACTTCTAAATATAATATAAATACATTTTATCTTTTATTTTTTTTTTTTTGAATTTTCTCACAAATTATAAAAGCCAATGAAACACCATTTTGTAAAAAAGTTTTCTTTTTAAATATCATCCGTAATGTGCTCATAAACATTTTTAAAAGTATCGATTTGTCAAATATAAACTAAATTTATTTTTAATATAAAATATCATAGTGTATATTATTTTGTAATTTTTTATAGAATCGACTACGAACCCATTAAAATACAAAAAAATAACATGTTCGCCGTTTCTGCCTGCACAGTTCGGACAGTTCCCCCACACAGTAGGTACCTATATACTGCGAGATTTATGTCGAAAACTTATAGTACATTCTATTATTTTTTAGGTTGTTATCAAAACAAATGAAACGGGAGAAGTAATATGTCAAGGCACATTAATCGACGTGAATTGGGTACTGACAACTGCGCATTGTTTAAGGTATAGTTATTGCATATTTCCGTATTTTAATAACATAATATATGCTTCAAACAATGTTTAGTAATATTCGATTAAACGGTGTTACACTTACGATGGGAAACGAATTCCAAGAAATTATCAGGAAGCCAAAGAAAGTGGCAGTAGAAACAAAATACCGCGCAGCACTGATTGAGGTTTAAATAGATATTTGTATTACGTTTTATTGTTTTCGATTAATAGTAATAATTTGTAGGATATACCCGGAAATTTTTGCCCAGTTTTCTACCTATCCGAATAGTACCGAATTTAACATATTATTTTCTGCGACTAATTTGGCCTCATTTCAAAAATTGATACTGCATGCGATTAGATGAACTACATTTTGTATAAAAATGAATAAATACAAAAGACTTCGTAAGGATTTCTTTTCCAGCGATTTAAATAATAGTCGTATGTAGTACAGTAGTTGATTTTCGAAAATAAGCTAAATTGGTTATAGAAAAAATACTAAAATCGGTTCCGATTAGGTGAAAACCCGTGTGAAAATTTAAGGGAAAAATGAACACATTAAATTAATATTACTTCGATTTTTATTGTTATTATTTTTACAAAATAGATCGACAAGCCTGTTAAGGTCACGGATACGGTGGCACCGATCGAATTATCTACCGAAGATCTATCGAAAAATAGCAAATGTATCGTGAGCGGTTTGAAAAAAATGACCAACAACGATACAGTGCTCGTTTATTGGAACATGGCGGTTATTGATAAACCAAAACAAACGTACAACGAAATCGAAATGTATTTTAAAGACCACGCCATTTGTCGTGAACAATTATTATGGCCCTCGCAGAAAGTAAGTCTTTCGTAACCTATTGGTTAGTTAACAACAGAGTGGAAGTGGTGTGGCTGACGGGAGACGGACCTCCGGGGTATTATATTACCTTTGATTAATCATTAAAAATTCACAATTTTTTTTTAGATAACCGAAAACGGCATGCCGCTGATTTGTAACGACAGGTTGTACGGCATGTACACGAAAAATAAACCAAGGGTTTTCGTTGGCCTTTCAAAATATAACGAATGGATCCAAAACGTTATGGATATGACGGAGTTACACGCATCAGCGGGCATTCCCGATTTCTTTGCTAATTTGGTGACGAGCACGACAGCGGTTATGTTAGACCCGTCCGTCACCATGCCGGAAGACGTCGAAGAGACCGAGTCCGACGATCCGACAACGCCGCCGGACGAGGAGGAACCGACTACCCGTCCGATAACCGTATCGTCTTCGCCGACCAGTATCACCGTCACCATGACGGAAGACGTCGAAGAGACCGAGTCCACCGATCCGACATCGCCGCCGAACGAGGAGGAACCGACTACCCGTCCGATAACCGTATCGTCTTCGCCGACCAGTATCACCGTCACCATGACGGAAGACGTCGAAGAGACCGAGTCCGACGATCCGACATCGCCGCCGGACGAGGAGGAACCGACTACCCGTCCGGTAACCGTATCGTCTTCGCCGACCAGTACCGCCGTCACCGTGACGGAAGACGTCGAAGAGACCGAGTCCGACGATCCGACATCGCCGCCGGACGAGGAAGAGACGCAGTCGGCTTTTTCGACTTCCCCGGCGACTACCGAGTTTCCCACCACCGAGTTTCCCACCACCGAGTTTAAGACGCCACCGCCGATCATTACGACGTCCACCGCCGCCGCCCCCGGTAAGGACGACGAGGTTGATTCGAATAAATCGAGCTCCCCGGCAATATCGTACAACGCGAGTCTGATAATAACGATTTTGTGTTGTCTTGCCGTTATTAATAAGAAATAACGTAAATAAAGTATGTATGAAAAAAATAACTTTTAACTTCAATAATGATATATATAAAAAATATATTGTATTATCATTATTAATTCGTAATCTATTTTATGTTATTTATACTTATTTTATTTAGTCGATGTAAATATAATTTTACGTAGGTACCGCTATTATTATTATGGCTTTGTACATTTTTTTTTTTTTTTCCGGGGTTAATCGTAGTCAATGGCATCATTTCGGAAGGGGCTGGGGAGGCATTTACCTCTCATATCATCAGTGAGCCGCTATCGAGTCGGGTATGGTCTGGTGTCGAAATAGTTTTGAGCCACGGTCTGCAAACACGACTCATGACATTGTGTTTTATGATTTATGTTGTATACGGCAACTCTGAGCTGCAGTTTTTTTAAGGGTTGTTTGTGGTAATAATTGTATACAATATTTTTTTTTATTTTTTTATTTGTTTACATTGATTGCACTTTAACTTAAATTACCTAGCTCTTGTAAAAGCTAATGTAAATTTTTGGAGAGTGTCCATTCTGATTTATTTTATTACATGATTATATTAATGTTCATGGTGACATGATTATACTTTTTGTAAACTCATGTGTACTCCGGATCTATGTCATTAAAATATAGGGGCCAATTGATTGTAGGACAATAGGTAATGGATAATAGATCGCGGGACAATTAATAATGTACAATAATTTATAGTGTCATAAGATACACTCTGTACAGAAACTTATTTATGAAATATAAAAATCTATTTTATATTTCTCATCAAATTAGAAATTACTTGTTCTGTACTTGCATTAATATGTTAATGTCTACAGGTACCTAAGACGCAACAACTTATATATTTAAGGGGTGTAGCGTATAAGCAAATTTTGTTAAATTTTTTAAAAACAAAATTCAATCAACTTAAAAATATTCAATTTAATTTTTAAACACATGCATAAGTAGTCTCGGGTTATTTTGAGAAACATTTGTTATTTAATCGTGAAATGAACAAAAATATTTACGAAAACCCGTTCTACGCGGTCAAAAACTACTCGGATAATGGTTTTATTCGAGAAATCAAATGTTCACCATAGAACAAAAATAACAAACACTATACGACGTTGGTTTTAGTTTTGTGATATCAATATTATGTAGATAAAACTAATTAAAAGATTATTTTCATCCCATTATTTGTTTTTAACATGATTTTTGTTGTAAATTAGTACTGCACTGCGCCTAATCCTAATTTGTTCGTGAAAAAAGCGTTCGTATTAAACGCACCTTGCCAAACCTAATATTCCAAGATCAAGTTGTAAATAAATACAACGGTATCTGAAGGAAAATTAATAAAAAACACTTATATTATGAATATTTTTTCCACACAGATATGATACATAATATACTAGATGGCGCTATCTATATAAATATGAAATTACGGTTTTCATTATGGTTTGCGTAATAATCATTTTACTAATAGTAGTACCAATATTATTAAAATATCAAAAACTTAGACTTAGTATATAAAAGTTTGTATATGGGTAAAATATTATTGTTCCATAGGCATAACTCACGGATGCAGGGAATGGTACTTCCCAGGGATTAAAAACAATTTTAAATTAATAACACTTATTGATATTATAGCTTGAGAGAAAACACCTTGATATTGGATTGTATATTACCATGGCGTATGGTTTTTCATTCAACCATTTCAATATAGTCGCTTGTGGATTACACTCCTATACTGATTATTTTTACATGAATATTATAAACAATCTTTAGTTGTGCAAGGTAGAACGACCAGGAGTTTTTAATACCTATATTATAATATAAAATTAACCGGACCTTAGTTAAGATTTATGATATTTGTAGGTACACAATTATTGATAAAAAGCAAGTTGTTATTATTTTAATTTAGATAAAAAAAAGTAAAATAAATTTAGGTTCAAATTCCAAACTACTTTTATTTCTACAGTTAAAACTAATATACCTGTTATAAAACTTGGTAAACACATTTGTGATTCAGGGGACACACTATTTAAGTCCTTGGCGCTATCGCTGCGCTTGACAAGGTGACAGTTTATTTTGGACTAAAAAAGGTGGTGAATAGTAATATAGTATACAATATAGATAATATAAGTATACATTTTCTTAAACATCAAATTTAAAATAAAACAACAATTTGAAAATATTAAATTTTGTATGTTTGTAGTTTTTTGTTACATTATTATAATTTAAGTGTAGTAATAAAATAATAACTAATGTTTACATTAATTTTTATTTATTATATTTCATATAACTATACTATAAGGCAGAAATTAAGCGAGCTACTTATTGTTCTGTCGAAGGCATTTTAAATCAGGCAGATTAAAGTAAAGTGTTGAACCAAACCCAAAACCCTGCGCGCGTCTACGATTTGTTCAAACGCGGTATTTTCGAACACATAGGTACGAAAAACATTAGTATAATAGGTATGACTTATTTTTTACTTTGTTATTAGTTTGTTCCGTTTATTTTTAATTTCGAACATGTATTTTTATCAAACTACTTAACCCATATATATATATATATATATATATAAATAATAACACTATAATATAATATTCAGGTAATTTCATAAAGAATAACAAAATCACTATAAGTATTTTACTAAACTATTTCAGACAAATGTTATCATCCATTATAAATTCTAAATTACCATAGTTACATATCTGTAATATTATTTAACTACATAAAAATGCACATTTCTTTTTATAATACATTTTTTTAATGACATGTGGCAACAGTGAAGTTGCTATTAAAAGTAGAATTTAAAAAAGCTGACCTAGGGTAATGGGAACGGATGCAGTCACTCTTATAGATAATTTAAAATGTATACCACTAAGCAACGATAAAATATTACTAATGGAAATACGATTCTGAGTACAGTTCAGTTGATAGTGATGCTTTTTAAACAATATATATACATAGACATCATATTATGGTAAATAATTAAATAGGTATTATATATTTTCTTTAATAATATTTGTTCAATGTACCGTTTTCGCTGCGTTTCTCCCGGTTTTCCCTTGTTTTTTTCAGATTGTTCACATTTGCAGGAAAAACTCTTGGGAAAATCGAAAAATTACTTCACTTAAGTAATCAGATAAGGTGCCACACTTAAAATTCGGAGCAAGATCACTAGTAGAAAAGTTTTCCACAGAAAAAAAAACTAAAATAAACATCTTTGTAAAACCATAAGCTTCTTCGCTCCACTCAGAGTCTAAAATACAACCGATTTATTTAGTATTTTAGTGAAAATTTTGTATAAATACATTATCTAAAGGAAAAGTTTGAAGAAAAAATATTTTTTAATCGTGAAATCATTGGACGGAATAAAACACATAGTATTTTTAAGTTATTTTAATTTCAGAACAAATCATAGTATGATTATTTTCTGGCTAATTATAATATATATACTTAAGTAAAATAAATAACAACCTACTATTATAAGTACTACTTATAAAAACAGTTGGCAAATATCTATGGACTATCAATATTCTAATATTACGATAAATTATTTTAAAATATCGTTAAACCTACTAATCAAACACGTATATTTTAAAAAAGAAGTATACTGTTATAATAAAGTATATATTTTTTATAAATTATTTATCTACCTACATTTCTACTTACAATGAATCGTATTAAGTCAACATGAGATGTGTTTATTTAATTATAATATAAGTACGGTAGGGGATTTTATTATAGAATTTGCTTACTTTTTTGACTTGTTACTAAATCTAGCAGAGCGCTAAAAGTAATTTATATCATGTTACTACAATTTCAAGTATGAAACTATAAAGTGCTTTTATTCGATAATAATTTTAGTTTAAAATAAATGATTTTTACTAAGTTTTTTTTAGCCATTTTTAATTTATTTTGTGCTCAATATAGGATTTATAAAAAGGATTTCTAAGCACTTTTTCTACTGGCTTCAATTGCTATACGGTCAAAACAGTGAATACAACGGTGCATACCCAACATTATATATTAAAATTTATGATATAAAACAAACAAACAAAATTGAATTATTGCTCATGATATTTATATTATTTATTATTATTCTTTTTTTAATTTTACAGATATATACTTTAATTGTATAAATACGATAAACATTATTAATAATCAGAAGTCGTGTTCCAAAATAATTAAAAGAAACACGTTTCTGTTATTTTGGAAGCGTGAAAACATTTTTAAATACAATCGGGTACTTAGTAATCTATTTCTTTACAATGTCGAATGATTCTTGGCCCAAATTAGATGCCACTGAACTAGACGAAACGGAGCTGGTGGAAGCCGGTACCGAAGAAGCGTAGAAAGAATTTTGCCCGAAGTTAAATGGAGCCGCCGCGCCTGATGAGCTTAAGAAACTGTCTTGAGCAGCATTTGAGCCATAGAATCCAGTTGGGCTAGCGGTAGAGCTGAAACCAATCGGGCTAGCAGTAGAGCTAAACGCACTAGCTGATGCTGGTGTAGAACTATAGAAACTAGCCGGGCTGGAGGTGGAACTGTAGAATGCACTAGCTGATGCTGGTGTAGAACTGTAGAAACTAGCTGGGCTGGATGTGGAACTGTAGAATGCACTACCGGAAGCTGGTCCTAGGCCAGAGAAGAATTTGCTGTAACCTGATTGACCTGCAGTAAGACCTTGAGATGATTCGTATCCTAAAGCAGCTGATGGAGCTGAACCTTCATAGTAGTGGACAGTAGCGAGGCGTTGAATCGGCGCTGCGACTGGTACTGGAACCTTAACTTCGTATGGTACCTGAACTGGGTAAGGGACCTTCTTTTCAACTGTGTAAGGCACAGGCCTATCTACAGATACTGGAACTTTAACTTGCACCGGATATGGAACATTAACTGGGACCTCGTATTTAACTGGGTATGGTACAGGCTTTTCAACTGGGTAAGGTACGCGTTTTTCAACTGTGTATGGCACGGCCTTCTCTACTGGGTATGGCACTGGCTTTTCAACGGCTACTGGGTACGGCACTGGTTTTTCTACTGGGTACGGTCTGTCGACATTTACTCTTACTGGGTATGGCACAGGCTTTTCAACTGTGTACGGCACTGGTTTATCAACTGGAACTTGTACCGGGTATGGCCTGTCGACTGGTACTTGAACTGTATACGGTACTGGTTTTTCAACGGGGTATGGCACTCTCTTCTCAACTTCCACTGGGTACGGCTGAGGTACATGGACTGGACGGTCGACATTTACTCTAACTTCATATGGCACTCTCCTTTCTACAGTAACTGGGTACGGTTGTGGTACATTGACATATACCGGGTGCGGTACTTTCTTCTCGACTTGGACGTATTGTGGGACTGGTATTTGTTTAGTGATAATGATTTGTTTGTGAACAGTCGGAGTAACTGACACTGCAACGGCATCACTACTGTAAGCATTTGATTTGAAGATCGATGATCCTTGTGAGAAGGATGGCGCGTAGGCTCCGGAAAAGGATGATCCGTATGCACTAGGTGCGTAGGCTCCCGAGAAGGATGATCCGTATACACTAGGTGCGTAGGCTCCAGAGAAGGATGATCCGTATGCACTAGATGCACCATCTCCTGAGAAAATCGAAGACGGAGATGACGAATATCCATAGCTTGCATCGGATACGATTGGTGCTATGGTAGATGATCCGACTAAAGCTGCCGGGGAAGAAGAAGCGAATGATCCATCGAGAAGTGGAGCTGGAGTGGATGATCCGACGAAAGATGCACCGTCAAACGATTGGGCACCGAAACCGTTGGCAAAAGCATTTGATGAGTAAGATTTACCAAAAGCAAACGGAGCGGGAGTGGAACTGTAAGAAACAGATTTGAATGGAGAAACACTCGACGCGAATGAGCTACCGTATGATAATGGAGCTGCAGTAGATGAACCAAAGGCACTGATGTTGTCAATATCTAAGGAGTATCTTTTATTATTTTTCTTCGCTGGTTCTGCAGCGAACGCAGTGGACACTACTAAGAGTCCTAGAAAAACTGCTTGCATCTAAAAACCGAAATACAATATAATTAAAATTGAATAGGTATTTTTTTGTTGTATATAAATTACAATAATTTTGAGTTTCTATATTTCTATATAAAATATTAAATAATTTTAATAAAAATGTATGTGCAATCCCAATAGTTTTTCCTAAAAATTTAAAAACCCGACAACAAATTATAATACATTTATTTATCTGTTTTCCAAGTTACGTTTGCTACAAGGAAATAAATATTTTTAACTAATACTACTCTACACAGAATTTTTTTTTGATTCCAGAGAATTTTTTGTACTTTAAGATTAAAAATTGAAATTCATTATGTCTTACACATTTCAAACTTCCTACCTACTACTCTGGCCTACTCTCAGTATGAAGTACATGTGGATTTTTTAGTTTTATATTAAACATATACTATGGCATATAATGATATAGAAACTACTAGTTCTTGAATGTGGACAATTTTTTTTATCTGTATTTGTTGATATTTCTTTATGTAATATAATTCTATACACGAGTTTGACATTTAATTATTAAATTATAAAAAAGTTTTCGAAATACGCGTTCGCTATATTATTTTACTGATATTATAATAGTTAGTTGTATTGTTTAAGAAAATTCTAATTTCATAAATTATCTAAAGTATGACATATTCAATAATTATAATCGTATATAATACATTTATAATAAAATAAAATAAATTTATAAATATTGGGTGTGTCAAAATAAAAACCAACTATAGAATGCTTTGTGGATGATATAAAATTCAAAAAATTCACATTAAATAATATGAACAAATAAGAAAAATATTATTATTCAATTTAAAAAAGCGTATAAATACGTATTTAAATCGTATAAATTATTTAATTTATTATTAAATATCTATATTTTAGTAAAGTATGAGGTATAAACGGCTAATATTTTTGAATATCTATAATATTGAGTGTTATAATTTTAGATTAAATTTGTGAGAAAATATAAATGATCAACGAGTTAACCATAATTCTATTATACATGAACAAATAATTAATATAGATAAGTCGCCTTATATAATATTGAACAAAAAAAGTAAAAAATATTTGTTCTTACCATAGCACTGGAAGCCATAGTGTCTTTGCGCCACCAGCTAGTTACTGTTCAGTTTAATAACCGAATGACTGTGTACTCTGCTGAACACAAGCCTTTAATATATATACCTGCACCACATTGGACTGTTTCCAGTTAAATTTGTGTTATACAGCCAAAACCAGTCATCCGGAGAATGGGAGGGTTCTGTTACAAGTTCTTCAATAACATTACAACCTCCTGCTACAAATAAATTATTGATCTTTATTTCAACTATTTTTTATAACGATTTAGTTTTTTTTTTATAAAAATGTACTTATGTATTATTTTTTTTTTTGCTACGAGTTTTTGTACAAATTTATTTATATATTTTTTTTATCATTATTTTTTTTTTTTTTTTTTTGCTATGTATTTTAGGTTGTAAATCCCAAACCGGTTATTTGCACTTAGTCAAAGGTTGCACAAAAAATTATGATTAGTAGTTTTACATTTTTTTCGAATAATATTTACTACAAAATATGATATAATATGTGCCATCGGTGATCTTATTTTACAGACCCACGATGGAGAGACGAAATTTGTACGTACACTTCATAAAAACTATAATGTCAAAATAAAATATTCAAACGAATACTATTATTATTATTATTATTATCAGGTATATCGTCAAATAGTGCACTCGTTCAAATACACTATGTAGGTATAAGTTTATATACACTATATAGGTTTATTAAACAGTTATAATTTATAAATTATGATCATGGAATGAGTAATTATGTTAATAATACACCTAATATTTAGAATCAGAAATTAATTTTAGTCACTAACACAGGTAATATTATTATTTTGATATTAAAACAGTTCCATTACTGAGTAAGCTAAAAAAAATATACTGAATTATTTTATTTGATTGACATTAATGAAATTTAAAATATTTACAATTGTTTTCACCCGCAAATTATAGTATGATGTATAATATAAAACTAAAATACATCCACTTCGCCCCCCCCCTCAAAAAAAAAGAGCTGATACTGGGGACATGTGTGGCCACTGTTATAGGTGGGTAGTTGGGAATGTGGTATACATAAAGTATTTTAATTTATACCAGAAAGTAACGATAAACCATTACTGACGAAAAACGATTACGAGCGAAGTTCGGTTACAATACGTGTTTTAAAAAAGCCATAATATTTACCATTTTCGTCAAAATTTGATTTATAAACTCTTACAAAAAAAAATAAAAACTACTGCATCATAATCAATTTTTCTTCAACCTATCACTAAGTATGAAATTTGAACCTTTCTGTCAAATTGTCTAGCATTTCTGTTTAGCTTACCAATATTATCCACAGAGTACCTACCAAATATAACTTACGTAAAAAACTCGTATAATTAAAATGTCTATAATAGCTTAAAAATGAATCAAATGAAATTTTACCAGGCCTAGAAAACGAAATATAAGTTTTCTGTAAAAATGTTAAGTCTACGAATATTTTCAACAACACAACATTTAAAATAATAATAGAATTATTTATTTTAAATTTTAAATTTATGAAAAATGTTCCCGTACTTTCTACGTATTTTAGGTTTGATTCAATTTTTGAAAAAATTATAAATAAAATCAAAAATGACCTTCTTGTTCATCAACTAGATAAAATTTACTTTTAGAAATGGCGCTATACTCTATACATCGGAACATTATTTCTTTTCGAAAAGTGGTTTACATTTTTAAAAAAACACAGATTATAGTGAAGCCATAAGATCCCTTGCTGCCTTCCGAATCTAAAAATTGAAAAAATAATAAAATTACTATTTTCGTAAACTTTCCGTTTTAAGTAGTTTCCATTCAACTATTAAAAAACTTCATGGAAAATCGAGAAACGACTTGCTTCCTCAGCAACTAGATTGAAAATTCAACAAAAAAGATATTATGTCATTTTTCGATTAAATGAATATTTTTGGTAGAAAATATAATGCTTAATAATAAAAATAATAAAATAAGTAATTCCGCGGCACGCCATAAATATTTACCATTTTACCTATAAATTTATTTTCAGTTTTTTCAGTTATTTTAAAAGTATCTTAAAAAAACAAAAATACCCTATTTAATAGATCACCAGAGTGTAGCAACTAGAGATGCAACAAAAAAGGTATCTTGTCATTTTTCGTTTGGAGCAAGTTTTCTGTTTAAAAATTTGTTTACAGACAGAAAAACATACACACACATAATAAAACCAATTGATCTCTCGCTCCACCCTAAATCTAAAGTAATTTGTGATTTTTATTCAGGCCGTTGGTTTAAGTCAAAATCAACATTGCAAATATTAAAATATTGAAGAGTTATTCATTATACATAGAAAAAAATTATCCAAAGTCCAAACATTATGTTGTATAATATTTCTTTTCATAGAATGGGTATATTTATTTAATATTTTAATAATTTTCATAATTATGTATACATCTAAATATTTTAGCCTTTAGGATTCAAAAAAAAAGAAACAGCCTTCTAAAAGTTTGTCGCCCCGGGCCTTTTTATCTCAGTCCGCCACTGGGCATTATATCCATTAAATTATTATTTATTAGTTAACAGCAAGTAAAGTTGTTTTATTTTAATAAATAAATGTTTGATATGTACTATTCTTTGTTTCTTTTCGCTTGATATTTTTTCGTTCTTCCGAATGAAAAGCCTACTTCTCGGATATCTGTACATTTGCGATACTCATAAAGGAAACGACGACTAACCTAACTTAACCAGAGCACTGATAGTTCTCCACCACTATCGAAAATATAAACAAATATCCGTGACGACTTTATGTAATTTTTAAATCCTGAGTGAGGAATGGATTGGTTTTACAATGATGTTTATTTTTTTTAAGGGGAACACTTTTTTTACCAGAAAGTATACTCCGATTATCAAGTATGGCACCTTTTCTGAAAGGAAATGTTCTCTGGGTAGTACTTTAAGGAGGACATTTTTTGAAATTCTTGTTTATATTAGAGATAATGCGGAAAATCTCGGTCTTTAAATTAAAAAAGATTGAAAGATTAAAAATAAGGTTGTCATTGGCTTCCGTTTTTATTTATTTTTTGTTAATATTAAGTTTTTATTATTTTAATCTTTTTTAAACAATCATTGTTGTCATGGAAACACACATTGTTGTAATCATTTTACTATAATATGATATATACCATATATTGTATTGTTGACAAAGCAACACTATCAACTGAACTCCGCTCAGAATCGTTTTTCGTTAACGATGGTTTATCGTTGCTTACAGATATACATTGAATTCCTGTCTGTATCCTATCTTCCCAACTTCCCACCTACAACGGTGGCTGCACCCACAAGCAAAATATGTCCGTCCTTTTTTTATTTTCCGTTATACATTATCTTCACAGCACTGAACTAAATACTCTAAATATTCCAAATATGCGTGTATTAATCAAAATATGATACTGAAAAGAAGTCGCCATATGCATTCTGAACCATAGTATAAATGTACATACAAGATGATTCATTAGGCGTGCTCACCCCATTTTTTTGATTGAATTTCAATTTTTGTAATTTTTTAGTGTAGTTAAAGCCGATATTTTCGAATACACAGATTTTTTACATTTTATGGTGAATTTTGGTTTTTCAAATGAGAACCTGTAATATAAACTTCATAAATAGACAAAGTATTATTTTAAGTAAATGTTGATGTCAAAATGTTTGTTTTCCGTCAACTCGTTATCGACGTATTCCACTTTTAAGTTTATTTAGGGGGGAATTAATGGAGCATCATTTTTATAGCGGCACGACGCGTGGTGTTTCATTAGTGCTCCACTACTCTCCCCTACCTAAACTTAAAAATGCAATATCTCGTCAATAGGTTGACGGAAATCAACAATTTTAACACCAATTCAACCAAATCAACAATTTATCAAAACTTTCCTTCGCACTTTTACAAGCTTAGGACTGCTAATAAGTATTAATTTAATATTACATAACGTGTTAAAACTGACGAGTTAAAAATTGTTTTTAAAATATTTATTGTTACTGTCATTATTATAATTAATTATTTGAATATATTTTATTAAAATATGTCAGTTATTTTTTATGATTTATTTTAAATAAGTTGTTATAGACGAAAGGAAGAATTTTTAGACAGCCACTTTTATTGTACAGTCACTTATTTGAGTACTGAAAATGTTAATATCTATTATCACTTGTATAGTTGCTGCTTCAAATTATATTGCTGTTAAAATTCTAAACATATTTTTTGATAATTTTTAATTATCGAATGTGAATTATTATGATTTTATTTAGAAGTAATACAAAAAATACTGTAATGATATTAGTTTCACCCGATATACTTCTAATGTCTACATACACTGTGTATGTTTGGTGGAATACTAAATGTTTATTTACTACAAATTTTTAAAATTCTGTCAAAAACTAACTATTTATACAAGTTAATGAGTCTTATTAAAATATTAAAAATTGGTGATTGTTATCAAATTATGAAATATCATCAGGTATAATTATTTATTCTTAATACATACAAAATTCAATATAATCAAAATTCATAAATACATATACATTATATTTTTTTTTTATTTATGAACATACTGTATCTGCATTATAATAAATAAAAGGAGTTCTAAGTTAATTAGTCCTCATTATTTGTATTATATCAATACTTTAAGCGTTTGACACGGGAAAAAAATTCCAATCACATTAGTGGCACCGACGTGTTTTTTTACTATCAGTTCAATACTCTATTACTTAACCAGCGATACAATTTTATTATAATTGAGTAGATAAATATACCTAAGGAAAATGAAAATGTAAAACATTTTGAACAAGCAAATGAAAATTAATTGTTTTACGATTGTAAATTGTAATTTTTTTTTATTAAAAAAAAAAGTATAAAAGCCGAAAAGGTAATAAATGTAATATTAATTTTTAGGTTATAATACTACTTTAAAGACTATAGTGAACAGAATAAGCCTATAATACTGAACATATTGTGAATAAGATCAATAAACAATTTTGAACAAAACGAAAAACAACTTTATTCAAAATATTCGTAAATGATTTTTGGATTTTAATACAAAATTGCCTTGTATAATGGACAGAATATCATTATTTTTACTCATATTTATTTTGTGCATGTAAAATATGTTTTTTTGTTTGTAAATTATATGTACTTTTCAATTATCGTCAACATAAGGAAGACGCTTCATATGGCATGTAGCCCATACATATTTTGTCTTTTTAGATTCCGAGTGTAGTAAGGGAGCTATTGCTTTTACAATGCTGTTTATTCATTAATTTTTTTTTTCTTTGTTCTAGTCTGTGGACACATTTTTTCCTAGTAAACTTGCTCCGATTTCTACGTGTATCAACTTTTCTGTAAACCTCAAGTTGTCTAGATTGTACTTTAAAGAGGTCGTTTTTTGATTTTCGACGCCATTTAATAAATAAAAGCACTTAAGTATAAAAAAAACGTAAGAAAACGTATAATTTCACAATTTCATTATTTTATAAAAACACGGATGACTTCTACCAGAAAAAGAAAATTAATCGAAAAATCACACAAGCCCTTTTTTGTTGCGTTTTTTATTTACTTTCTTACGGTATCATTGTCAAAACTTTTGAGCCACTTTTAAGATTTTAAGGAATTTTAATTTTTAGGAGTTTTTTTGCTGTAATTCGGTCATAAATACACGTAGAGACTTGAAACTTGATAATAATACTTACATTGGACTTACCTAGACGTGGTAAAATTTCTAAAATCATTGGATGACTTTTTTTTTAATAAGTATTTTGAAATCTAATTTAAATAAAAATCGCCAAAAAAAAAATTACGGCACTTCAAATTATGTATTACCGAACTGCGCTCGGAATCGTCTTTCGTCAAGGAATAGTTTATCGTTGCTTACAAATATAAATAAAATAACCTTATACATCCTACCTTCCCAATTTCTCACACACAACAGTGGCCGCTTCCATCCGCAGTATTAGCTCTTTATTTTCATTATAATATTAAGATAAGTAGGTAGTATATAGTATAATATCACACCAAATAATAAAGTTGATTTAATAGCCTGTATTTTATTTTATTATTTTTTTTTAATGATTTTACAGATGCATACTTAAATTCTATATGTTATGATTCAAATTATAAATAATCAGAATACATTTTTCAGAAATATGTAACAAAAATGTTACATACTATTATTTCGTAATCGTTAAAAGGTTTATAAATCCAATCGGGTACTTAAGAGTCTATTTCTTTACAACATTGAATGATTCTTGACCACTGAATCCCAAGTTAGACGCCACAGAACCTGACGAAAAGGAACTGATGGAAGCCGGGGTCGAAGAGCCGTAGAACGACTTTTGGCCAAAACTGAATGGGGCTGCTGATGAGCTTAAGAAACCTTCTTGGGCAAAGTTTGAGCCAGATAATTCTAGTGGGCTGGCAGTCGAACTGAAACCAATTGGGCTAGCAGTAGAGCTGAATGCACTAGCTGATGCTGGTGTAGAGCTGTAGAAACTAGCTGGGCTGGATGTGGAACTGTAGAATGCACTACCGGAATTTGGTCCTAGGCCAGAGAAGAATTTGCTGTAACCTGATTGACCTGCAATAAGACTTTGAGAAGATTCGTATCCTAAAGCAGCTGACGGAGCTGATCCTTGATAGTATTGGACAGTGGCGAAACGTTGAACTGGAGCGGCGACTGGTACTGGAACCTTAACTTCATATGGTACCTGAACTGGGTAAGGGACAGTCTTTTCAACTGGGTATGGCACGGGTCTGTCTACAGCTACTGGAACTTTCACTTGGACCGGAACTGGAACATTAACTGGGACTTCGTATTTCACTGGGTAAGGAACCGATTTTTCAACTGGATACGGCACTTGCTTTTCGACTGGATATGGCACCACCTTCTCAACTGGGTATGGCACAGCTTTTTCTACAGGGACTGGGTATGGCACTGCTTTTTCTACTGGGTATGGCCTGTCAACATTTACTCGTACTGGGTACGGTACTTGCTTTTCAACTGGATATGGCACTGGTCTTTCAACTGGAACTTGTACTGGGTATGGTCTGTCGACCGGAACTTGAACTGGGTATGGTACTTGCTTTTCAACTGGGTATGGCACTCTCTTTTCAACTTCTACTGGGTATGGTTGAGGAATGTGAACTGGGCGGTCAACATTTACTCTAACAGGGTACGGCACTGTCTTTTCTACAGGAACCGGGTATGGTTGGGCTACTTTGACCAATACGGGGTGTGGCACTTTCTTTTCGACTTGGACATAGTATGGGACTGGAACATTCTTAGTGACAGTGACTTGCTGGTGAACAGCCGGGGCAACAGAAACTGCAACGGCATCATTGCTGTAAACATTTGATTTGAAGATCGATGCTCCTTGTGAGAAAGATGGCGCGTAAGCTCCGGAAAAGGATGATCCGTATGCACTAGGTGCGTAGGCTCCTGAGAAGGATGATCCGTATGCACTAGGTGCGTAGGCTCCCGAGAAGGATGATCCGTATACACTAGGNGAAGACGGAGATGACGAATATCCATAGCTTGCATCGGATACGATTGGTGCTATGGTAGATGATCCGACTAAAGCTGCCGGGGAAGAAGAAGCGAATGATCCATCGAGAAGTGGAGCTGGAGTGGATGATCCGACGAAAGATGCACCGTCAAACGATTGGGCACCGAAACCGTTGGCAAAAGCATTTGATGAGTAAGATTTACCAAAAGCAAACGGAGCGGGAGTGGAACTGTAAGAAACAGATTTGAATGGAGAAACACTCGACGCGAATGAGCTACCGTATGATAATGGAGCTGCAGTAGATGAACCAAAGGCACTGATGTTGTCAATATCTAAGGAGTATCTTTTATTATTTTTCTTCGCTGGTTCTGCAGCGAACGCAGTGGACACTACTAAGAGTCCTAGAAAAACTGCTTGCATCTAAAAACCGAAATACAATATAATTAAAATTGAATAGGTATTATTTTGTTGTATTATAAATAATTATATGGTTTCTATATTTCTATAGAAAACATAAAAGTAGTATATGAATACAAATTAATTTTATTTTCATCAACATTACTTTTGGTTGGTACAACATCATGTATTTTTTTATAATAATATAATTAATGTAGCTAAGCTAGTATAAATAGACGTATGCTAGTTATAGAGTGTAGACAATTATAAAGTATGGGTATATTTAATATTGCTTCAAAACGATTTGTTGTATATTATATGTATGATTAAATGTATGATAGATACTAAATTTTAAAATCAAAATTTTGATATTATATACTTATACCTAAAATGTTCACATTTATTTTGGTACACCCAACTATATTAAAGTAAGTAAATAACAAATAAAATAAAATTGAATAAAAAAAAAAAAAACAAGTTGAAATATATTTATCCTTACCATAGCTTTGGTAGCCATTTTTGTCTTGATGCCACTTGTTAGTACTGTTCAGTTTAACAACCGAATGACTGTGTACTCTGCTGAACGTGAGCCTTTATTATTTATACCTACACTTCTTTTTGGACTGTCTCCAGAAAATATAGAGGCGAAACCAGTATTCCGACATAGGAGGATTCTATTTAAAATTATTTAACATAACAATCTCCTCCTGCAAAAACCGACCTGATATTCCAACTTTTTTTTGTACATAAACGATTTAGTTTTTTATATAAATTTATTTATAATTTTTTTTTGACTATAGAAATTTATTTTTGGCCAACGTTTGTATATTATAAAACCGGTTGTTTATACTTAGTCAAAAGTTGCACAATTATGAACTCTAAAAAATTGATTTCCTCGACGACCTTCGAGTTCTGACTCCCCCTTACGTTCACCGGACATGCATTCATTCCCTGCAAATACGATACATTCTCGGTCGTTATGTATTTACTCCTTCGATCACTGCCATAATACATATATCTTGGATGCCTACACAAAGTCATATAGCTTTAACTATGGGTTATTTCACACATTTTATTACCTTTCGGCGGTGTACTAAATGTCAAAATTAAATAATTTTAATCGTACATTTTAAGTATTTATATATATGTAATATGATACCTACGAGCATACGAGCGTATACGAATAAATAGGTACATATAATACAAATGTATAATACAATTTTAGTATATTTATACTAAAATTATAAATGAAGAACAATGTATCAATGTACCTATAACATTTTTATTGGTTTTACAATGTGGTTTTTTTTAAATTTTATTTTATTATTTTAACAACTTTTCTACCAGAAACCTTGCTCTGGTTTTAAATAATAATACCATTTCTGAAAGGAAATTTTAAAATGGTGGTATTTTAGCAATGTAATTTTTTGATTTTCCAAGTAATTTTCATAATTGTTGGGAAAAACCAAAAATGAAAATTGACAAATTTACGTCGCGTGGGTTGTGATTTCATAATTTTAAATTTGTACCGTTTATGTTTTCCACTAGAAATATTGTTTTAATAAAAACAAGAAAGACCTTTTTTGTAGTATTTTTAATCCAGTTGGTGAGTAAGAAAGTCGTTTTTTTATTTTCTGGTAATTGGTTATTTTTTGGTAATTGAGCAAAATCGAAAAAAATATTTACGAAAATAATGCTTTGTTTTTTTGTTTTAATTCAGTTTAAAAATGTATTTATTTATTTTCAATTTAAAATTTTCAAAACACGAGCCATTTTTGAGCTATTTGTAGAAATTTTAATTTTGTGAGTTTTGTACGTAATTTGTATTCAGTAAGTGTGGCCAAATTGTTAGACTAAACAGAAAAGCTAAAACATTTAAGAGAAAGTTCATTAAAAGTCATATTTAATGGTTGAAAAAAAATTAAGTGATATATTATTATACTCTGTATATAGTATACAGAGTGATCAATCTATCATTAGACACACATTATCTCAGAAAATATTAACGTTTTTAGAAATTTGTTCTATAGAAAATTGTATAACAAACAGTTTTTACATTTATATTATTTTTCGTCACCCAAATTTTTGGGGGTAAAACGACTCCCTACATTTGATTTTCAAGGGTTCCATGGCAACCTATATTAAAAATTCCATATATAGATGGAGTGGTACAATCTTAAAACGCCGCGCGCTATGCCACCACACAAATGATACTCCACTACTCTCCCCTGAACCAAACTTAAAATTATATATCTCGTCAACGGATTGACGGAAACTACAAATTAAAACAACAACATTTATTTTAACTATTACTCCATCTATTTATGGAATTTTTAATTTAGATTGTTATTTGAAAATCAAAAGTGGGTAGTCGTTTTACTCCCAAATATTAGGGTGAAAAAACATAATGTAAACGTTTAATTTTAGAACAGCTTGTTTCTTAAATGTTTTTTAGAACAAATTTCGAAAAAATTCAACACTTTCCGAGATAATGAGTATTTTACGATAGATTGATTATCTCTTATTATATATTTTTTTTTAATAAGATTATTAAATTCAAATTTTGACGAAAATCGTAAATATTACGGTTTTTCTAAAATGATGTAATCGAACTTCATTCTGAATCGTTTTTTGTTAGCAATAGTATATCGTTGCTTACAGGTAAAAATTAAAAAACTTAATGTATACCAACTTCCCAATTACCCACCTACAACAGTGGCCGCAATTGTCCCCAGTTTATCAGTTCTTTTTGTTATTGTTATTTTTTTTAATTTTAAATTTTTAAAAAATTATGTGTCATAGTTTACCTACCTACATTAGGTTAGATTGACCTAACAAAACTTACCTACTTAACCTAACCCTACGATTAATTGATTTGTTTCCAGAGTTCCTAAAAGTACCCTAAGTAAACAAAATCCATTTCAATCCGTCATCGTTGTAAAATAATGAAGTAAAATGCCAACATCATCCAAAAAATCATTCACAGCTTCGACCTCTAGTTGCGCCTATGGGTTAAACTTTACTTAACTTAAGGTAATTTCAACTTGAGTTTTTTGTCAGTGCTTTTTAGAGCTATTTAAATAATTTTAAGTGTAACTTATACATTACTATGTAGAACTGGTATAAAAGATCATTAGATAGTAAATTTTGTTAGGACGGTAAACTACACACAAGCCAATTAATACAAACAGTATTCAGTATTGTTTTTAAAAAGGACTGGTTTATTGTTGCGAATAAATATAAATTAAATTATTATATACGTCCTCGTTTACAGCTTTTTACCTACAACAACAGCACACCCATCAGCAGTATCAATATTTTATTTATTTTAGAATAAATTATATTCCGGGGCGTTATAATGTGATTCGTGAAGAAGTTTACCATCGAAAATAGTCAAGATTCACAAAAAATAACAATAATGATACGACGAATGCAAACGGAAGGTGCGATAGGATTCACCGAGCAGAAGTACGAGTACATTAGACGGAGACAGAGAAAAACGAGATTACTACGCGGTCTGGGAAGGTCCCATCCCCGAAACCTAAGAAAGTCGATAAACGACCAGTGCGATGAAGTACAGATATGAGAGGCGGGGGTTGTCCAGAACGGTGTTGAGGACTAGGGAATTTTCAACAAGCAAGTCTAAGGTACATTTTTATTTTTTATTTTTTGTCGTACAAATTTATTATGCGCATATAAATAAAAATGTTAATGGCCTCTCTCTCGAACAAAAATGTATGTTTATATATATATACAACATATATATTACAACATGCATTATTCTGTACATTCGATAGAACTACGTAAGAAAAAATTCAGGTTTCTTTTTTTTTACAAATATTTCTTATATAATGGTCAATCGTAAATAAATACATATTTGTTTTTGTTTTAGACACTTGGAAGAATTTTTCGAAAAATCCACTACTGCTCTTTCATATATCCAACCACAGGCACCGGCGTATATATACATTGACAAACTATAAAATATAAATTTTGAGTTGGCGTTTTGTTATTAGTCTGGTTTTTATACATTAATATTATATTGGTCTCCGTTCCTACGTGGGAATCTTCTCTCCTTGAATATTTGTTCAAAACCATAAATCGTTAATTTCAATAAGAATAATATTATATGACAATGTATATTCTCAGAATTCTCAAACACAAAATCATTTACTATTTACTTCACCGAGTTGGCCAAATCAACACAAAAAAAAAATTCGAATGGCAGACAATATTATTACGAAAGCTAACAATTGGTTTAAGAGCAAAAATAAGTATATTTTGTTTGTAAAATTAGTCAACCACCCTTCTAACCTCCTCAAAAAATTACGTTGCTCTACCCCTCTATAAAACACGGACCACGGAAGTTAAAAAGCCCGGACAAACATAAAATCATAGCATTAATAGCTAATCTAAATAATCTAATGTCTTATGAAAATCATGACGGCGCGTTTGAAGTTAAAAAACGAAAACAAAGAATATAATTATGTATATAGACTGTAAAACAGTACTTTCCAAACTCTTTCAAGTCGTGGCGCTCTTTTTGAACCAAGGTTTCCTCATCCAAAGTGTCTTCGATGGTTGGTTTTTCCATCAAGTCAATCAGACCCACATTAGATAAAATCTTAGAATAAATCTTACTTTGAAATATCAAGTATAGTACCTTTTTGAAAGAGGATTTTCCTGGGGTGGTATTTTAAGGAGGTCATTTTAGATTTGCTCAGGTTTTTTCTCAGAAAATATAAAAAACCAGAAAAAACATGAGAATACCGGGAAAAATCTAGGAAAAACCATAAAATAAAAACAATATTAAACAAAAATTATTAAAAAAAATATATAAAGCTTATTTAATTATTTTACTATAATATAACATAATTATTGTAGACAAAACATCATAACCTCCGGTAAAATTTGACTAGAGAATATTTACCTTCCTGTAAAATATTCGGGTTGTAAAATAACACTAGCGAATTTTTACCCCCCGGTAAAATTTTACTAGAAATTTCATCAGAGGAAATTGATCGAAGGGAGGGGGGGAGGTGTGTTGAAATTTCTCGGGGGTAAATAATCCTGGTTACAACATCACGGTTTCCGTTGCCATTATTGGGTTCAGACCAGTAAATATTCCATATAATGACGCAGCGCACCTGTACAGACACACATATAGTTTTATCGGTTGGATTGGCTACAGTTTGCAGTTTAGAAATAATGTTGTGCCTGGACACGAACGTTGCAATCTGTTGAGTAATAAAATAATCTGCTTAAACAAAAGAAAAAAACAGAAAAACCAAAAAAATTATAAAAAGAAAAAAAATATATAATGAATGCGAAAACTGACAGGTAGGAAAGTGAACATCCTTCGAGAACGGATTATTATTTATACAGTGGAAAGTATAAGAAGAGTAACATTATTTTCAGTCAGAAGATACGTATACCTAATAGTATTATTATAATCGATACAAAAATTGTTCGATGAGCTGAAACGATTCTGGGACAAAAAATCTAAAGTAAAAAAAA